CTAAGAAACGTTTCCGGCCAGATGATTTTCTTAGGTAGGTAGAACCGCTGGTACGGCAGCTGACTTTAATAGGTTCAAGTTATTACTCCAGTCCCCTTCGCATTAATTGTGCATACAGTATCCTAGCTTCCGGTTCGATTCTTTCGCGGTAGCGTCACAGCTTGTAAACGTCATCGTGAAAGTGATTGCCTCTTCGGCAAGCTAGGTCCAGTTTCTTTCAACCTTGTAGGAAACACGAAGCAAGGGCCATCGATATCCGAGCCCGAACCACAACGCCACTGGCCCTCATGCGGCACACATGCGGCATAGGAAACTACTTGTGCCCAAAAGTCAAGGTCAAAACCTCGGGCTTCCTTGCCGCCAAAGGCGCCTGGATTTCAAGAATACTCCAATATTCGATCCGTGTGCCGCGGATAATATAGGTAGGTAGATGTACGTGCTGGTGATCACCAGAATGCACCACGAAATGATATGTTTTAATCAAGTCTTAACAAGCGCGCACGTCGCGCTCGTTACACATATTGGTACTAGAACGAGTCCTGTTCAAGCGAAGTATGGTGGATTTGGCAGGAATATATGGGAGACCGTATCGGTCGAAATCAGCATATGGTTCAACATCTGACAACGAATCATTTACGAGAATGAAAGACGTCTTAGCCTTTACTTGGTGAATCTCATACCGGCAAACATATATCTCCACAAAGCAACACACGTTTTGTTTCTCTTCATGCGAACTTGAATATTCAATTGTCTGGTGCTTTCCGTGGAGAGGAGAAGCCCGTTTTCAATGATCAGTATAGAGCGCCTATAGAGCGCCGCTAAATCTGCTTACATCAGACGTCCAAACTTGCCTGGCCATGCCAGTCACGATTCCCCGAGCTGAACTTTCCATTGGCTTTCTTGGCCACATCATCGATCTCGATCGAATCGCTCGAGAATCTCCTCATTCTGAAAACTTTTCACTTGCTGGCCACTATCTGTCCACTAATGAAAAAAAAAGAACCTAACTGAAAACGCAAAACAGCCCGAAGGATTTCCTTATGGACAACTTAGGTACATCGAGGTCGTGCACGACTATGCAAGTCTAAATGATCTATACCCGAACGTGAGGTTGAGACAGCTGCAAAGGTGACTGCGCCATGCCGAAAATCAGCTTTCTACACTCCCACACTCTCGTGTAACTCCGTTCGATGTAAGCGACTCTACACAGACGAAAAATCTCATGGAGCTATAGGACAGAAAGAGTCAACAACAGCGGAGAAAGCAATTGACTCGTGTCCGTGTCCCGTGTCCTGTGTTCAGATACGGTTCCGCAATGGGACCGCATCACACCCCTTCCACTTCTCTATCACACCGGCCATAGGGTCGTAGGTTGGTCTTTTTACCACATCTGTCTGCGATCAGCTCCCTCCCGCGGTTTAAGGTCTGCCTGAAGTTCTCACACTCAAGGAAGCTTTCATTCACATGTCACTCAGTCCTAGTACTCCACTCTCTGACCCTGCGTCAAGTCGCGTCTTGGACAGCTTGTCAAGAAACGTTGCTGATTGGCGCGGACCCCACCTGCGCACCTTCATCTCGGCTCCGTTCCAATACTTCCGGAGGCTTCCGCAGCGGTTCTGGGTGATCCGACTCCGGCGCACTGGCTGGTTGATCTTTAGACGGACCGACCGGTGACAAGTGGTCGGGATCTGCCCCCGCCGGTGAGACGGCGCCTGGAGGCATAAACCGGGACACGTCACCGGGGCTCTCGCTAGCTGGTGCCTCCCTAGGGGGTATGACCCGGGACACGTCTTTGTCGGGATCTGCCTCGGCTGGTGGATCTGTGGGGGACCGGAACCGGGACACGAGAGTGGGGTGTGTTTTAGCTGGTCCGTCTGCCGGGGAATGGAAGCGGAGAACGGAACCGAAATCGGAATGTTCTTTGGCTAATTGGTCCCCCTGGGGACGGAACTGGGGAACGGAACGGGAACCGGAATGTTCTTTGGCTGGTTCGTCCCCCGGGGGACGGAACCGGCCCGCCCAGCCCGTCGTGAGGCCCTGCATTTGGTCGCCGTTCGCCCCGGCCTGGGCTGCCCGGTTGACGAGGCACTTCCGGAAGGAGAAGTCTTCCGAGGAGCCGTCGGTCCTGAGGACGTGGAAGCACCGGTCGCTTTGGCCCTTCGGGGCGCGGTCGACCTGGAAGAAGTCAGAGAGAAAGTGCGGTTTGTGTGACATTTCCGCGACGTTATGCGGTCCATAGGCAGATGTGCAGATATGATACCAGACCCAGTTTAAGTGTACGTTCTCAAACTGCGCTTGCCTGCAATTTGTTCGCGATATGCAACTGTCAGCCGGCCGTCGTTGCAGAAGAGAATCGGACTTTCAAGCCGTTCCGGCTACATCTTTCACAACTTTCAGAACAACCTGGGTAAGAGCCACTTAACTTAGAAAGCTTCAAGTGGGTTGCCCGAGTCGAAATCACAAAGCAACTTGAATTTCAAAAGAGGGGGCCCGAATGCATACGACGCGAGCCTTCGATCGTGAGCCCTATGTAGCCAATTTCCGAACTTATCCTGGGCTCCCTACAATGCCAAATCGACTGATCAATTCCCACCTTGATTGCCTCGACCCCACACCCAATCTTCTCCGCGGCCTTCTCGTGATACGCCAAAAGCTCCTCAAGCACGAACTGCTGGTCCTCGGGAGACAGCCGCTCGGAGATCTCGTACCTGGAGGAAACAACGTAGTAGGCGTGTGAGCCGGTTGTCCCAGGGGAAGCTTGCTGAGGATCAAGAATTGCAAGCGTCGGGGAATCTTGTTATGGGATACGTTAAGAGTAATAGAGTCCGAAACAGACTCGTGAGCGTAAACGAGAGTGACGCATCGAAACGCGGAGGTTCCAAGGAACGGATTGAGAGTTGGTCGACGTCAAGGCAAGATAAGGGGAATTCATTCAGAAACAATCGACAGAGACTTGTAACTCGAGGAGCTCCTCGAGAGAAAGCGTCGATTGGAAAGCAAGTTTGGAAGTTCGATATAAAGGCCTCTCAATTCAGACCTCTTTCACGATGCTCGAGAGAATCTTAAAAGCCACAGGTCCGCAATTCAGCAGCACTTTGACCTTGGGAAACAACTCGCTGATGATTGGACTGCACCCTGACAAGCGTCACAAGCTGGAAGCCACATATGCCGGAATATCTGGGAATTCACTCCAGATTCTGTGCAAATCTCAACCCTCAGCGAATCAATCAAGCTCTGCGCATGCACGACGCTGCCAGCCATCGACGGCTGTTATTTTGTAATAGCCAAAGCTGCCGAAAGCTTCTCGAGCGAAGCCGTCTGAAAACGAGATCACACTACGATTTCAACCACCTGTCAGTCTCTCCCCTAAGAGGCACAGCCTCCATTAGCGTTGAATACAGAGAGCTTTACTTACCGGCGCAGAATCGTGCTTGCCCAGTTCCGTTTCGCCCTCAAATCCGTCACGAGCGGATCATCCTCTGACCCATGCCCAGAGAGCCTCTCCCGTTTCCCCTCCCTTTCCCCCGGGCGAATCTGCCCCCCCTGCCCCGCCTCATCTCGGCTCGTTTCCTCGGGCCTCTGTCTCTTCTCAGATCTCTCTTCCGCCGTTCCGGTGAGCCCTTGACCGGAATCTCCTCGTTCTGCTTCAGCTCCTCGCACTCGCTTCCCGTGGTTGTCTCCAACCGAGGCCCCTTTTCGGGCGACCTCGTCCGTTCTCTCCCACCCGTTTGATTTCCCCTGGTCGCCCTTCCAGGCGCTTCTAATTTCGTCGCCGTCTTTCCCGGTGTCCCACCCGGTAGCTCCGCCCCCCGTTCCCCATGCCCCCAGGCTCGCCTCCTCTTCCGACGGACCAGTTACTGCCTGCCACGTGGCGTCCTCAGGCGCCGCCCAAACCATCTCCTCCACTTCTGTCGAAGTCTTCTCCTTCTCGATTATTCGTGACTCGTTTTTCGCTCTCTTCGATTCCCCTTCGTTTTTAAGCTCTGAATTCTGCCCTCCTTCCGCTGCTCGTTCTTCAGGACCTTCCGGAAAATGCCCCCCCTCTAGTTCTTCGGCACCCCACCCAGCCGGCGACCCCCAACCGCTGCCCGCTTCTTCCTTAGTACAAGCACCCCGGGCGGTTTCGTCTGGAGCACTCCCTCCGGGAGAAACGACCGGCTGTTGTTCCGCCGCTGCTGAGGCGTGTTCCGGCGGAACGTTTGGTGGACCAGTCTCGCTCCCTGGCCTTCTCTCGAGACAACTTTCCGGTGTATTCCAACCAGTCCCCGATCTGTTCGCCGGGCTTTTCACTTGATGAGGCTCGATGGATATGCCCCACCCGGTCGCTCCAACCGGGTTCCCCCACCCACTCTCGTTAGCTGGCCCTCGTTCAAGAGGAGTTTCCACCGACTTCCAGCCAGTCCCAGCATTGTTTACGGTTTGCGCGGGCTCGGTATTAAGGTTCCAACCGGTCCCTTCAACTGGATCTCCCCAACCAGAGCCAGGATCTTCCTTCCAATTGGACTTTCCGGCAGCTGCTGACACATCTTCCGGGCTTCTGTTCCGATCACTCTCTTTAGCTGGCCCTCTCTGAAGAGGAGCTTCTGATCCGTTCCAACCAGTGCCAGACTTGTTTCCCGCTTTCTTAGGCTCCCTGGGAATGTCCCACCCGGTCCCTTCAACCGGTTCGTCCCAGCCGGAGCCAGGGTCTTTGTTCCGGTCAGATTCCGCCGGAGCGCCCCAGCCGGTGGCAGTCTCCGGGCCGTCGCGGTTGGCCTGGGGCGATGCTGGAGCGCTGGTGTGGGTAGCAGACCAAGGCTGCTGGACATGGGATGATTGATAAGACGGCCAGAAAGCTCTTCGAGTTTGTTTGATGTCTCGGACCTAGCTTGTGAAAGGTCTAGGATTCAAACAATAGGAAGGAAGGAAAGCCATCAGTGGTGTGAATGCGATGTTAGCAGGAGCCGTGATGGGTGGGGAAAAAGTCCAGAACCTCGCGAAGGCTTCACCCGTTGTCAAGCGAGTCTCGAAGATGCTATCAAAAAAATTCAGAACACGGGGACGCTCGTTGACACTTGTCTAACGGCACATGTGACCGTAAAATGCGAGAGCCCTGTTTTGAACGATCAGAAGACTCATGTAGGCATGGAGTGCGGCGAAGGACGATCGATGCTGACGAATCAGGTCAACAGATCTTACATGCTCCGCAGCCCCAGTCTTCCTTCCGTCCCGCCACGGCATCGCCTTTCCCGGCGACCAGATTCCATCTCCGACCTGCTCTTGGTCGCCCATCTGCTGCTTCTCCTGGCCCGACGTGGCCGCGCGCTCCTGCGCCGCGCGCGCCTGCGCGATGCGCTCCTGCGGAACGGCCGCGCGCGCCGCGCGAGGGTTTGGGAGTAGCGCGAACCCGCCGCCCGTTCCCGACGCGACGGGCAGCCCCAGCCCCGCGCGCGCGCTCGGCTGCGTGAGCGCGTCTCTCTGGCCGGCATATGCCGCGTCCGTCAGGATTTTCGGCGCGCTCTTATTCTGCAACGAAAACGAACCGGAGGTTGGAGCGTTTGATCTCCGCGGCATCTGGAAGAGCTGGTTCCGAGTTTTGGATACGAGAAGAGTAGCCTGAAAGAATGCCAAACGCGCCAGAAATGACAAATTGGGTAGAATTTCGGTCAAAGCTTCCAGGCCAAATAAGAGAGCTTTCAATATCGAGTTCACGGACTTTTGCAGGAGGGCACTTGTTTCGCAGGGGCTCAGCCTTGAAGTAATTCGCCGCGGCTTTGAAACAGATTATGTGCGCTCAGATGCCAGTCAAACAATTCTATGGAAGGACCACGCCCGCACGGATTCTCTGCCAAGGCGGGCTGTAGCAGACCTCCTGTTCGCTATTGATCGTTCCACTCAGGGTTACGGATATTCAGTCTCTTCCAAAGCGTTTCTACATCCACTCATACCTCTTCTGACTTTTTTTCGAGTCAGTTTTACTGTCATTCTTGCGATGAGTCTTCGATCCTGGTTTCTGAAATCAATTGATTATAAATTCCGTCTGTGGCTTGACTACCCGTTACCTCTCACCCCCCAAAACATGAGAGATATGAAGAACCTCACCTCTTTCCGGTATATCGCTCTGGAGAGCGGCGGAATGGAAAGCTTCATCCGGGCGCGATGCTCTTTGTAGCCGTTCATATTCAGCGAGAGCACCTTCCCCGAGGCCGTCATCTTGTCGGCGACCAGCTCCAGGTGCTTGCGGTCCACCTTGTCGCCGTACACTTCTTGCAAATCCTGAAGAGTCATCAGGAACGCTTTTCGTGCTGTTGCAAAACCGGTCCCAGAAGGAGGAGTTGTATGTCTGGGCGACAGAAGGAGTCGTTCAATCGTGCCGAGTTTGGGTTTGATTGAGGATGCCGAGGCAGTCTCTATCATACTCCGTAGATTCTTGAAGATGTCTCTGACTAGAGCTGGCTTGGTTGGCAGCAAGATTCAAGTCCATCAGAAGTTGAGTGAAGTGTAGTGGTGTGTATCGCGACAAGAGACGGAACAGAAGCTCGTCCAAGGCTCTCTGATCTGCCGTCCGATGCATCTAGTTGAGGCCCAATGCCTCTTCACCAAATCAAGACAAGCGCGCGCAGAAGAATCTCGAGAACCCTGACGAGATTGTGCACGCATCGAGTGTTGGCTTGTCTTCCTCAGAAACTGTGCACGTTCGTAGAAGCTAGAGTTTGGAAGACCTCAAGGAGATGAGGCCCTCGCCATGAACGGAACTGCAAGGATCGAGGACGTCGATAAGCTACTGTTGTCGAATATCCCTCACCTCGACGAGGGCCGCTTGCGCCGCCTCGATGCCCAGGCTTTCCGCCACGTCCTCACAGTCTTCCGGTCTCGACCGGAACGGATCCATCAGCTCAGAAGCATCGATGTCAAGCCCCTCAGTTTGCAAGTCCTCTAACCGACCACTTCCGTCCTTTACTGACGCCTCCTCATCCGAGGCATCTTCTTCTTCGCTGTCCGAGTTAAAGAAGCTCTTGGGCCATACTCTTCTGCTTCCGCTCTCCGCTCCCTCTCTCTTTCCGGTCCTTCCCGTTCCGCCCACTTCCCCCCTTCCGCCGGAATCATCGCCAGCCTCGTGCCGGAACGGCGGAACCTTCGCCACCGCCAGGAAAGCGAGTCCGAGCGGCGACTGTTCTTGAGCATTCGGTACTTTCTGCAAATACTCGCGCTCGTAGTTCCTCAAACCCTGCTTAAGTTCTGCGGGGGACATTTCGCCATTCTTGTTCGCGCCGATCTTCGGTTTCGGCGGCCGCTCTACCGTGACGGTGAGGCCGCGCGCCCCGTGCGCGCGCGCAGGAGCCGCGGTCGCGGAGGCCACCCAAGAAGACCCTGGCAAAGCGAAACGGCCAGTTCGTTCGATGTAAAGGGCGTTCTTCATTGATTTGCATCAAAGATACACTATGGATGCACCGTTAGATCTGCGGGCGAAGAGGACTTCCATCATGTCTGGATTACGACCGCAATCTCTCTTACAGCTGAGACAGCAAAAGGGATCTGAAAGTATTTCGGCTACTCGGGTCTGTCGGCAGAGGTTCGAGACAAGGACTTCAACTTATATTGTGTGTTCCTATGTTTTGAAACACAACGAAGGGCCAAGAGCAACCAGTACTGACATTTCGAATGCACATATGTTTGACTTGTCATCGGGCCAGGAAAGTTGCCAAGCTGCCTTTACTGCACAATCCAGCGAACCAAACCTTTTCAATGCAATCTGGAGCGATTACTATGCGAGTCAGGCTCAATTCGACTTTGGGTCAAGTCTGTGAAATGGTTTGAACAAATTGATGTCTCTGAAAGATGCGACCCAAACTCCAAGTATGTCGTTTCAAGAAGAGCGAAAGAGAATGCGCGCCAACCTCCAATGTTCGTCTCCAGCACCTCGCGCACTTTGCTCTCAAACCTCTCCATGCGCTTGTCGAACGGCGCGTCCTTGCGCGTCCACCACCCGAGCAGCGCGCGCACCACCAGGCGCCGCGGGTCGTCGACGAGAGCCTGGTTCCGCCTCCTACAAGAGTTATCTTCTGCTAGTTTAATAGCTAATCGGTTATTTAAGCACTCTTCTCTCGTTTTCAAAATCGTCATCACAGGGACGTTTAACTGCTAACCAGGCTGATTGCAGGACTTGAGTCTTCGATTTTTCAGCACATAGCCGTTCTAAACCTCGTTGCAAGGCTGGATTTGACCACCAAAGTCTGGTTGTTAGACATGTATCCACTTTCTAACCATCCAATAACCAGTCGAAAGCTATCCATGGTCAAGGGCCACATACTCCAGTGAATCACTGGAAACAAGAACACTCGGCTGTGGCGATGTCTCTCACAAGCAAGAGGCTGGAATTGCCATTCTCGGTTCAAATACCCGTCAAAACGGACTCAAGTAAGCATTGCAAGGTACTATCAGAACAAGAAGGACGAGCTCTGCGCCAAGCCGCAAAACCTGTCCGTCGATTCCTGCCCAAAGGGTGATGATCAGTTGGTCTTTCTGATATTCGTGGCGGAGCGCTGTTTGCTTTTTGTCTTCAAGTTTCGTAGATTCTCACCGTTTTGGAGGACTGGAGATGGAGTCTTCCACGGGTTGGGGTACTTGCGGAAAGTCGACAGAGAACTCCTCTGGAAGCATTTCTTCGGCTCTTTCCGCCAAAGTCTGGAGCTCATATGCGGCCGGCGCGTTGCCGTCGTCTTTCTGCCGCCGTTTGGCCGCCAGAGTTGACCGCAGGCATTCAGCGACGTGGCCCTGGGAAAGTACCGTGATGTTATGTGATAGAGCACCTTCGATGGCGAAAGAATTTTGTGAAACCTTTCCGGCAAACTTAAGGTTACCTGCTAAACAGCACCGAAACGACCGTTTTCGCTTGAAGTAGTCGCTGACAAGTTCGGCAGGGCAATGTATCAACTAGCAGTACGGTGGTATCGACCGTACGGTTGAAAAAGGTCAGCGCCCGGGGGACGGGTGGGGATACTTTAGGGATTTGAGCAAGTCCCTCAGGAATACTGCAAGCATCCTAGACTTTCTTCATCTCTTCTTCTTTTGGATTTGTCGGATGTCACGCAAGCCTTTCTACTGGAAGTAAATTCACCTGTGCTCAGATCGAGCGAGCTCCCGACCTTGCGAGGTCTAGGCGGCAATTTCCGTAATGTTTAAATGACCGTAACCCGGTTCTGAAGCCCCCCGCGCCCCGATCGCAAAAAATGTCAGAATTGCTCTCTACGGGGCCAGTGGGTCAAGACAGGTCAAGATGGTGTACCTCAGAGAAAGAATTGAAGATCCAAGATGAGTATAATCCCCAAGTGACAGAACATCGCGAACCCAAATACTTACCTGCTCCGCAACCCTACCCACCCCTAAAGCCCCAAACGAACCCTTACCGTTCGCTTACCTCATTACGTCAACTTGACATCGAGTTTCTTGATTTTGGGTCAAGTGTAGGATAAGCCGAGACAAGAAAGGATTCGATGCGAACTAAGTTAGCAAGAAGGAAGAGGGGCTGCGCGGTCTTACCGAGTCGCGCAGCTCAAGGATTGCCAGGGCCGGAGCCGCGTTCATATCCAAGACCAGATTTGGGAGCCTAACGCCACGTGTCGATCCGTCGACCTCTAGCCACGTGTACGACGTCAGTGTCAAGGTGGGACGATCCTCCTTGAGCATGCGCCTGGGTGGAGTAGGCAAAGCATGAGGAGAAGAGTTTTGAAAACAGCCCAAAAGGTCGGAACTGGCAGACATCGCAGTTTTTCTCCACGCGTTTCAAAGAGAGCGAAGGAAACCGGTGTCAATTGCGTGAAGAAATCCCTACGGAGATGCGCAAAGTGTAATCTGCGTGCTGAATAGATGATTCAATACCTATCTCTGATGACAGAAGTATTAGTCCACTTAAGCAAACAAACCACGATCTATTCCTAATCTTTCAACGCATCCCAGCCTGCTGGAATCAATCAAACCCAGCCCGCTGAATCGATCAAACGTACGGTCTACTCAGACGGCTCCAGTTGTCGATCGAGGGTACGACTGAGAGACGTTGATTGCTCCTCACACGACGCGCCACGAGGCGACCGCGGCCTCCAAAGAGCGCGGCCGCAGATGCCGCTCGAAGTGTGCGCACACGCGCGCGCGGAGGGGCGTGAGGAGGGCGCCACGCGCGTCGGGCGGCTGGAGCGCTAGGTTGACGGCTGTGGTCTTCCCTTTCAGAGGGTCTCGCTTCAAGGTAAGAATATCCTGCAAACAGAATCGGCAAGAAATTTCTCAAAAGTCCGGACACCGGCAAAATATCTTCCATCAAGGTACCTTTTTGACCAGGACACACCAAAAGTGTAATTTGAGTCATCTTGACTACTCAGCGAGTTCGCAATTCGCAACGTGCACACTCATGAGTCCGATGAGGCCATTAAGCTCAAGTAAGGGAAAGTGAAAAGGTAATGATCGGATCAATCTCATCAATCAGTTTGAAGTTTAGAGACACTGCCTTTAAGAGTCGGCCAGATTGATACGCAGATTGCGGCTCCCTTCGTACCACCAGCAAATGTAGAGAAAATAACACCCTGTGCATGCGTGCAGTATTTGGTCGAAACCTGAACCATTCCAAGACTGTTCTTGTGAGCGAAAGGAAGAAATCCAATCTCGTTTTCTATTCCTGCTCTCCCAAACGATCGAATTACATCCTAGCGATCATTGCAATATGAACCGCCAGTACATGAAACACGACGAAATGTGTTTTTACTCGCCTTAACTCGTCGCGCCACGTCTAGTACCCCGCCACCCGGCCGCTTCACCGCGTCCAAAACCCCCTGCGCCAGCGGCTCCGCGAGCGCGTGCGCGGCCGCGGCTCCGACGGCATCGCCCGCTTCCGGAAAGCCCCACGTCCCTGGAATTCCGTCGTCCCAGGTTCCTTCCGCCGGAACGTCCGGAATACCGCCAAACGTCGGGTTCTCGTCATCGCACGGGTCCGACTGCATAGGCTCCGTCTCGCATTCCGCTTCCGGTCCAAGCGGTGACGTCTCTTCCGCTGTAGGGTCACCGAAACTCTTCTCCGTGGGTTCCCCGTCCCCTTTCCCGCCGGAATCCGCGCGCGCCTTTGCGAACTCCCCCTCCGTCGTCTGCGCGCCGTCAAAAGGCTGGGTCACTTCGTTGAAGGCCCCCCCGGCATTGCTGACCTCGTCCATTGCCTTCAGTACGTCATCCACTGCATCAAGGACGTCAGTCAGCTCATCGCTGACTCCATCCCGGGGGGCGCTTCGAAACTCGTCGCCCTCCGCTCTCTCGGTTCCGCCGCCCCTCATGTTGGACAACGCGGAGCCGGAAACCTCTTCGCCGCTCGCTTCGCTCTCTCCATCACTTCCGCTGTTCGGCATCCATTCAGGATCCTCTTCTGAGCTCGAGTTGTCAGAGGTTTTCCTAAAATTCTTTCGCTTGCGAACCTTGGAAGCGTCCTTTTGCGGCGGACTCGAGTTATCGCCAGAGCCCACACCGCCAGCGACGGAACGCTTTCGCCTGCGGGTGACTTTCAGGCGGCGCGGCCGCGGCCGCGTTCCGAACGCCCGCACCGGACCTTCCTGCCCTTCGCCTCCTGTTTCCATCTTGGTCACATCCGACGGGTTTACAGCGTCCACGTCATTCTGCACCATGTTCGTGACGCAAGCGAGCGCTGCCCCAATTGATTGCGATCCGTCGCTCAACTTTTCCGTTTCGATCCCCAGGGCGCCGTCAGAGCGGGCGGAAACAGACCCCGGAACGGCCCCCTGTTCGGTCTTTCCACTAGACACTTCTGGCAAATCCTGCTTTCGCTCGTCTTCGGCGGAGGCAGAGGGAGCTCCACTTCGCAGCGTCTCCGAACCCTGAGCTGCTTCAACCCTCTCCGGGTTAGAAGACTTCTCCTTTTCGCCCCTATCGCTACTCGCTTTCAAACCAGTCCATCCAGAAGTGGTATTCTTCCATCCGTCTTCGTTCCCATCCCAACCTCTGTCACCTTCTTGGCTCCCCCTCTCACCACCGCTCCGGTGCTTATCAGTCTCCTCCCCTCCCTTTTGCGTCTCCATCCCGTCTTCGTCTTCCCCCCACCTCTCGCCAGGAGCATTCTCTTCCTGACCCTTTCCTTCTTCTGACCCTGAATCCTCGTCGTACCACCATTCCGTTCCAGGGGTAGGAAACTTCTTCCGCTCCAGGCCCAGAAACGGAACCTTCGAGGGCGAATCCAGCAGCACTCCCACCCCGCGCGCTCCACGCGCGCGCGCACGTTCCGTCCGCTTGATCGGCTCCGGCTCGGTGCGCGCGCCCACTCTTTTGGAGTACTTCGCCCGGGCTCCGTCCCATTCTGTAGAGGGAAACCGAACCACGTGGCCGTCTGCCGACGTCACCATGCCTAGTTCGTCGAAGGTCAAATCGCCCAGATGGAACATAAGGTTCTTGCCCTGGAAGGAGAAAAGAGCGATGTCAGATTAGAGCAGAGCCTTAATTACTTTTTCCCCATCTTCCGGGTGCTTGCATGGGGTTGGCAGAACGAGGAGTCCTGACACTGGAGAAAAGTGGGGAGAATATGGCTCATCAATGATCAAAGAAGGGGCTTTCTCATTGATGAGCCAGATTTTTTTTCCACCTTGAAGAGAGGAGCGTATTCGAAGCTGACGTGCCCTTCTATTCTAAGCCTGCAACCGTCCCTCTTCAGAACCAGCAACCCTTGGTAGCTTTTGCAGAGGCAATGCCAGCTTTTCTAAAGATGCAACTTTCTAAAAAGTTTCCGAGCCAATTTTTTTTTTTAACTTTTTGCTTGGCTTGCTTCTCTCCTATGCTGCACCCGATGTTCCCTGACGCGACAGGAGCAGAAGATGAATCATCAAGAATGACGCTACAAACTTCCGACGTTTTATTAAGTGGACTGATGAATCTTCTATATCAGATCAATTTCGAAATAGAAACACAAATGCAACCAGCTAAGCGAAGCATACCAAGAGAGGATTTAGAGTTCCTCACAATACTGTACGGTAGGTCATTCCCGGTCCCCTTCAGCACGAGCGAGTGCCGCTCCGCCATCGCCTGGGCGAAGAAGTGGTCCGCGCGCGTGCGCGCGCCGGACACCAGCGGCGTCCGGATGAACTTGTGGGCCTCAAAGTACGCGGCCGCGAAGCGCGCCTCTTCCCGATACTGGCGCGCGAAGGCGCCCGGCAGTGCGCGCGCGCTGACCAGCCGCGAGCGGCCGCGGCTCAGTTCGTCGAAGCGAGAAGCCCACCTGAGGGAAAAGAGAATGTTTTGAATCGCCGAGGTGTTTGCGAAAGGAAAGAAAAGTGTCGGCCTGTCTTCTTTCTTACACTAAAATGGAGCGTCTCTAAGAAATCAGAAAATCCAACGGGTAATATAGAAGCGCCCCCGGACAATCGACTTTGGAAAACGTGAAGCTTTCTTGACGCGAAAATCGATCGGAGCTTTTCTGCTTCTTCTATGGCGTGAATCAACAAGAAGAATGAATACAAGATCCTGCCAAGTATCAGATTCCAAATGAACTTGGTCAAAATCTGTGCCCAAGAGCTCCGGGCTCCACCGAACCGGAACCCAATCCAGATTGCAAGTTCGACATACCCGTGTCGAATTCTCATTTCGGCCAGAGCCACCGCTCGGCCACCGCTCGGCGCTAGCAAAAATGCGAATAGAAGATTTTAGGCATTGCTCAGATTGAGTCTAAACCTGATGAAGCGATGCTTTGAACCATCCCTCTCGTAAATATTCCTCGCCCAATCCTTGTTGGCCTTAATGGTAGCTTTTCAAAGTTTCTGATTTCAAAACGACGCGGATCCTTCAAGACACCTCACCAGCTTTCGGACGGCAGGTGCGGCAGGAAGCGCTCGGTTTCGAGCATCGGCAGCAGCGCGCGCCCCTCCCACAGCTGGAGGCCCTGTGCGAGCGCCATCTTCTGCAGATTGGCGGGGGATCCCTTCGACCCTGCTTCGTACAGGGCCCGGAAGGCGTTCCCCGGGGGCACGTGTCGGTTCATAAGCGCCTGCTCCTCCTTTGCGGCGCGCTGCAGGTATCGACTTGTTACGGAGAATTTTGTTTATCTTCTATATTTGTGCCAAATCCGAAGGGCTCGATTGCATCTCGTCAGTACCTCGACCTAATCCAACAGAATTCTCAGGTGCAGCAGTGTTTTCGAGACAGGCATCGCGACAGTGTTGAATGAGAGATGCTGTTGAGATTCAGCTTGTGTTTGATGAACGATCCGCGAGGCTGAATTGACGTCTTGTAGCAGAAGTTAGGGGGCAAAATACTCCAACATGTATGTATGTGTAAAAATTGCGACCAATACTTGTTGGAATTTTCACTAACTTATCAATTCTAGGATGCGGAACTTACAAGGAGTTCAGAAGAGAAGCATGTACACAACTGTTGTGTCAGGACTGCCAGAGATTGCCACTTTTCATCCTTGTCCTGAGGACCAGCGTTCTATCTTCAGAAAGAAACTTCGTCCTTGAATGATGAACATTTCTGACAGAGCGACCACACAATGTTTCTCCTCACCTCGAATACGCGGATCACATCGCTCTGCGCTTCTTCGTCCCTCCGAAGACGGCCCCACCAGTTGGCCCTCCTCTTCACAGGCGGCCCGTGACATTCTTCTTCCCTGCCGACTTCCTCGCTTGCCGTCCGCTCCGGCGCCTTCCGCTTCCGCCCGCTCCCTTCCGGCGGAACCCCAACCCGGCTCTCCTCGGCCGACAGCGCACCAGTTGAATTCCATTCCTTTCTTAACCCGTTCTTAACCCACCTCCCTTGACCAATCAGCTTTTTCACCTGTCTCAGATCTTCCAGCGCGAAGCGCATCCCCGCCCTCTTTCTTCCGGTCACCGCGGCCGCGGCCGCCTTCTCGTCGAGCGCGCGCGCGGGTTGGCGCTTCGGCGCCCGGTTTTCTCCCCCGGGGATCCGTTCTCCATCCAGTTCCGTTAGCCCCGAACCTTCCTTCGAGGACCCCGTTCCGCCCCAGCCGGTTCCGGTTCCGTCCCATCCTGTTCCGCCCCAACCGGGCGGGTCCGACCGACCGGTCTGTCTTACTGGCTGGTTATCCTGGTTATCTGCGTCCCCACTCAACCCCCCTAGTGACACACCCTCTCCCAGGCTGACGTCAGCATCGCCTCCTCTCACGGCATTCAGTACCACTGTGACGTCACCAACGCCGTCTTTGACTTCATCCTGCTCCATCACGGCGTCAAAATCGGGATCGCTCCACGCCTCTCTCTGCAGCGGATCGTCCTCGGGGGATCCTCCTCCCCGGAGGCGCGCGGGCGCGTCGCTCACGCTCGCGGCCCCGCTCGCGTCAGGCGGCGCGGCCCCGTCCGAGCTTTCGCTGTCAAGCACCGTCCGCTTCCGCTTCCGCCGCGGAACGGACTCCCTCCTCGCGCCCGGCTTGCGCGCTTCCCTCGCCTCTAGTTCCTGACGCAAGCGTTCGCCAAGATCGCCCGTGTCCGCATGCATGACCGATTCCGGTTCCGGTTCCGCCGCGCTCATCTTCACGACGCAGCGGATCGCTATGCGCAACGCCCGCATGCGAATCTGCTCAAATTTGTTTTGTGCCCGGTTGGAAGAACCGGGGGCGCGGCTCGGCGTGATCAGCAGGTCCTCGAGGCCTAGGCTGAAGCCCCGGTTGTCCAGGAAGACTCGGGTAAAATGCGTAGCCGCGTCAAGGAAGCGCACCGCGGCCGCGGCGCCGTACCTGGGGCAAAAGATTGCAATCATCCGGTCATCAAAATGGGTGTCGGAATCAAGGCTCGGGAAATGCACATTCATTGAGTCTGAGTGTTGTTTGTACGGACCAGAGTCGAAAGTTTGGTTAATTGAAGTTTCCAGCACCGTAGACTGCCTGGATTGGACACGCGTGTCGTACATCCAGTGATAAGCATGAGATGACAAGATGCTCAGAGGGTTGACGGCAGAAAGTTTCAGAAGGAAAGCGGAAGCTACGATTGCTTGTCAAAGGGCAAGACAGGAAGGAACGTATCCAGTCAGGCAAAGCGGTGAAAGTCGTAAACTTCTGACTCGAAGCATAGTACTCGCGGCGGTCTGTTTCTATCTGATTCGTTCTGCTGAAGAACTTTTTCTTTGCTCCCGGATCCAAAATGCCCTGAAAGTGCTTTAATTTTGAATTGCCTCGAGCTGCGTGGACAAAAAGAGTAAGCACGCTTTAACTTCAGAAGCCTTATATAAACAGTACGAACTAAACTCCCATGAACACATTACGAAACGCCGGTAGGAGAAAGCTTCCTAATACCTACTCTCTAGAGTGGGTTTCCCATCTTGATTGAATCTAACAGGCTCTGTGCTCAAAAGCGCAATCCCAAGCCCAGGCAAACCAACTTCAGAAACACCTTTTTGGTAGATACTTTCTGTGCAATCTTCAAAAAGGGTTCTTGTCAGGGCGACCATCAAGTCGCTCACATTCTCCACAGGGTCGCCACGAGGCCGTCCGGCGCCTCCCCTAGCCACGTGGCGCCCATCCGTGCGCCGTAGAATTCCGCCCGTCCCCTCGCGATCCGGACGCCGTCTTCTTCGCTAGCGTACGTAAAGCCGTCCGGAAGCGCGGCGCATAGGATCTGGTCCGCGGTGTAAACAGGCTCCCCGTCGAGCTTTCGTCTAGCGGGGGGATCCGGAAGCAGCGTTTGCTCCCCCCCATCCGCTTCAGTTCCGGTTGGGGGGTCAAATTGCAGCCGTTTTTTCGACCCCCCACTGCGAGAAGCTTCGTCCGGTATGCCCACAACAAGCTGGCAGGCGTCCGCACGGGTGAAGTCAACCGGGGCCCCCTTTCTGCCTGACGTCAGCATGAGGAACACGCCCAACCTGGAGTCCTGCCACAGGGCAACGAGCGCCTGGCCCTTTTGCGTAGACGTGACGTTGGCTGACGTCAGCAGGAGCTCCTGCGCCTCGGCGCACGCTTCCGGCCCTTGCGGCACGTGAAGGTTCATCTGCGAGTGAGCGTCGAACAACGCTGTTAGATGCTTTCTTTGGAGCAAATGAAAGCAAAAGAAGTGGGTGAGCATTGGGATGACTTGCAGTGAACTCGCTCGACCACGTTCACACGAGAGCACCGGTTTTAAACTCCGCTTCCGATAGACCCTGACCCCCGGTTCTCGCTCCGTGCACCCGCTTTGAATGAGCGACTCTGTTCAAACCCCTCCACGGTACCTTACTACGGAGCTTGTTATGTATGCTCGTTTTAACCGCGCATTTGCGCAAGCTGCCGGTTTGGAGACATGAGGAGACAGAAAGCCAAATGACTAAGTTAGTCAAGTCTCAACACACATAGCGACAACTAACTTGGACTTCGGATGGAGAAAGACTCTCACCTCCTCTATCAATCTAGAACCAGCAGCTTGCTCGGAAGGCTCAGCTAATGCACTTTTTATTTTGTTTTGATGCGGGTCACTTGTAATTCATCTATGTTTCTGGCGCCCCAGTCAGCTTTGAAGACCACCGTCGTTTCATGTGCTGAGTCTGACCTATGAAACTACGAGAAGATTCAGGACGCTCACAGGTTGGAGATGCCCTCAGAGTCTGACTTTCTCAGACCGAAACTTTCTCACACTTTCTCACAGGCCTTTTTGGAGGCGAAGTCAGTGGCGCTCACCTCATCTCCGTCAAAGTCGCCGTTGCACGCGTGGCAGAGCGGCAGCGGCAACCCAATGGTTTTGCAGTCGGTTAGCTTGACCCGGCTTGCTAACAGATTGTGCTGCCGGACCGACGGGTTGCGGTTCCACAAGACCAGGTCCCCTTCCGTCAGCAACCTTTCAATGACGTCACCCACTCGCAGCTCGAACTGCCCCGGGCTGACGAGGGCGACTTTCCGCCACGTTCCGTTCCGCCGGAACTGGACGATCTGCCCGTCGAACGGACGGACCGGCCTGTTGGGCGCCCGTGCTTTCTCCCGCTTCTCTTCTTCTTGCACTCTTTCTTCTCCACGTGATCCTTTCTTGGCGACACCTTCCCCTTGCATTCCTCTCTGCGAGTCGCCCCAAACCCCAGGCGCCTCGAACTTTGCCCTCGTCTTTCCCCATCCATCTTCACCGCTTCTCTCATTCCTTTCAGCAACCAACTTCTCTTCTTCCACACCCCAACCGGTTGCCTCTTCTCCTTCACCGGGCGCTTCTTCCTGCCAATTGCTTACGTCATCCGGGTTACTGACGTCATCTCGAGCCACTGCCGCGCCCCAAGCGCCCGGTTCACCCCAACCGGTCGCCCCTCCCTTATCTTCACCCATACTCTTTCCCGCACTTCCTTGGTTGGTCTCATTTTGTGCGCAGTCAATGTCTTTTTGCTCCTCTATGTGTTCTTCAATCGGTTCACGGGCTCCTGGACGCTCCGCTTCAGTTGGATTCGCTCCACCTTCCGGGTCGTTGAAGTCCGTTTCCTGCCAGCCCGTTCCGCTCCGTTCCGTTTTCCAGGCCGTTCCTTCCGCTGCAGCTTCCGAATAACCCCTTCTTCCCCTCCCACTTTCAACCTCCATCCTGTCCACTGGTTTTTGGGGACTTTCCGTTGTGTCTCCGTCAGCAGAATCAGCCTCCTTCATGCAGTCAACATTACCCCATCCAGACCCTCCGCCCCACACTGGCTGGCTTTCGAGATCGGCGTTCCGTTTAGTTTCCGTTCCGCTCTTCCGCTGCTCGTCCATCCCTGCCTCGACAGAACGCTGCTTCCCCGCATCGCCCACGCCGCCCCACCCTGTTCCGCCGCCCCATCCCAGCTGGCTTCCGGTGTCCTGATTCCGTTCCGTTCCCTGTCCTCCGTTCCGCTGCTCCTCTATGACTACGTCACCTGAACGCTGCTTCTCCGCACCGCCCACATCACCCCAACGAGTTCCCCCGTCCCCTTCCGGCTGGGTTCCGGTGTCATCATTCCGTTGGTTTCCCGTTCCGTTCCGCTGCTTTTCTAGTCTTACTTCATCGGAACTCTGCTTCTCCGCACCGCCCACTTCGCCACAACCATTCCCTCCGCCCCACCCTTCCACCTCCGGCTGTGTTCCATCAATCTCTTTCCGCTGCATCTCCGTCCTTCCGTTCCGCTGGCCTGCCGCTTTCTCCTCCCCAGCTCCCCAGCCCCTATCGCTCTGCCGACGAGTCCTTTGGTTCTGATCGCCTTCCGATTCTCTACCGGTCTCAAATGCCTCTCCCGCCCTAGTTGCAGTCCCATCATTTGACGGGCCCTCGGTTGCATCTTCCGGGCACTCTTTCAACGGCTCGTCTCTCTCCAGGAGTCCTCGGGCGGCTCGAATTGATCGCTCGAAAATTCCCTGCAGCCTCGGCAGGTTCAACGACGTCACCCTCTCCGTTTTTCTGAGGCCCATCTCCCGGGGGACTTCGACCGCGGTCACGCTGACGTCAGCGGCGGGCGAGATAACGCTGCGGCCGCTGTAGTCGCTCCGTTTGCCCTTGAGGAGCGCCACGTGGCCCTCTTTCGGCTCTTTGGGCGGCTGGATCAGGTCGAGGATGCCCCGGTCTTTCTTGGTGGGCGCTCGGGCCTGCATTAGAATCCGAGCTTCAGTTTCTTTCTGCTCCGAGGAGGACTGGTGTACTGATTCTGAAGGTGTTTCAGAGAACCCGGTTTGGAAGGCGCAGGTATGTATCTCTGAAGCTTTGACCCCTTGACCACGATTGGTCTAAGGGAATCAGAAATAAATCACGTTTCGTTTGTAGAAAAAGTTCTTAATGCACGTCTCTTCGGGTGTCCGCCAATGCAAGTAGCGACTGCCCGGCGTCTGACGGAACCTGCCGGACCGTCGGTCACACGGTCGGGAAAGACAGATGATGAACAAGAGCCAGAAGGTGGATCGCCGAGTATCAGAAAAAGTTTTGACGAGCGGACTTGGCTCGCAAAAGAAAAGTACAATCGGAATCCACTGAGGGGCTTGTGAATGTGAGCGGATCTGTCACGAGCACCATGTTCCCTTCTCTAGTGGTTCTTCCACAAGGGCTTAGCTTGCTTCGAACAACATCCTGAACAAACGATCCATCATGTTTGCCGCTATTCCGGCGCGCTGCTCTGTCTGAAGGTGCGTGCCAACTCTTCGTTAAATTCCATCAGCTGCGGACACAAGTACAGCTCTGTTCAAACCCCGACAAGTCGAAAACTGCAGAGTAACTCGGCACGTTCCCAAACTCCCACGAAATCAAGCCAGTGTCGAAAGACGTGTTCCCCGCACCTTCCGCTGTTCCGCTGTTCCGCTCTCCGGCTCCTTGGCGGCCGCGCGGAAGAAGGAGTTGACGGGCGGCTGCAGGCGCTCGAGCTCGAACACGTCAGGCACTTTGCCGGCGTCCTTCAGTTGTTTCAGCTTCTTGTTGGCCGCCAAGATTGACCGCAGACATCGGGTGATGTGGTCCTGAATCACGACAGGTCGTAGTCTCAGATTTTCCATCGTGTAACGCTTAAGTATCCACAGGGCTGCTTCTAGGGCTCTCGAGAGGTTGAATGACCGAGATTATAGAGTGATCAATCTTCCTTTTGCGAGAGAAAACATTCAGGAGTGGGATTGAATGAATGACCGTGAACCTTCTGCTTTTCTGAAACGAGGAAATGTGCGACTCTGGACGTATGCTCGACATCCCCAGATTGATTCCATTTTTGTGCTCTAGTAGTACTGGCGGGAGCCACATTGGATGCTTCTTCCGTTATGACTTGAGCTTTTGCACAAATCTAGGGATGATAAGGGACTTGAAGTTCCGAAGCAGAATACTGTAATTCATTGCGTAGAAGACTTCCAGATTCTTCAGGGTCTGACAGTTTTGCTTCTCCTTGAATTCTTGACTGGAAGCAGAACACTATGAAGACCCTCTTTTAAAGGCTTGTACGAGTTGAACCACTTGATCAATCTGCTCTCACGTTTGTCAAGAATTTCAGGAACCGCAGCTTACCACTTTCAAGCGGGAGGCCCACTCCGGAGCGATCCGGAGGTGCGGGGGCGGAACGAGGAGAACGGAATGAACTAGCCACTCCGGTCGGCCAAGACCTCCCCGCGGCTTGAAACCCCTCCACTCCTCGTCAGTGATCTTTTTGAAAAGCCTCTGGACCTGCAACGGTAATAAAAGATCACGTGGGCTTTTGTATTCACGCATCAAAATCGGTGCTGTTCTGGTTGACATCAGCGTTCTACGGGAAGATAGACTCCTCATGGGCTGTTTTGAGCCTGTTCATAGGCCGTCACAGATCGCGAACCCGACTCATGTATAGCGTTGAGAAATTGACTCAGAATTTTGACTAGAATGATGGTTTTTGGCGCCTCAGAGTGTCCCCGTCTCCAACGCAGGGATACGCATAGAAGACCAGGCTGCCCAAACAGCACATTCTTTGGTCCGAACTTGCGCTTCGTCGAAGGTCTGTCAGATGCCTTTCAATGGAGCAATATAGCATGAATATGATGCAGGGCCTCCAAGAAAGTCTCTTTGAAGAAAGCCTCTGAGCCTCGTGGCTTTGCCGCGACCCATCGTTTGACAGGTTGCAACTGCATGTCGCCAGATTCTGTATACACGTTGCTTCCGAGCGACTGCACAGGTGGAGTTACAAGCAACTGGTCGCCGCGGCACACTTTCAAACGCGCCTAGGACGTAGGGGACTGGTTCAGATTCGGCGACCGAGAGCAGGCCGTGGTCCGCTTTCTTGGACGCCATCTCCGTCCTACGTGGCCAGATTCGCGGCGACTGCGACTGCGTTACCGCCGTCTCACGGTCGCCGGCACGGGGCTTACCGCTTTTGCGTCGAAGTCTTCTCGGAACTCGACGTCGGCTCTCTTCTTGCACACCGCGCAGAGCATCCGCCGGAACTGCAGAACCTTCGCCTCAGCGGACTCTTTCACGGAATCCTCGCAGCAAACCTCGCCCCCATCGCTCTCATCTCCTTCGCTTGATTCCGCCGGAACGCGTTCCGCGGCTCTCCGGCCGGCTTTCGGACGGAGCTGCAGCCGGTGGCCGTTGAAGTTGAGCAGCGGGGGCGGCTGCATCGCATGAAAAGGAATAGATCATAACTCTTTGTTTTCGTTAACACTGCACACTTATTGTTGATCGATTATCTTTCTCACACATGTTAGATTGCTTGAATGCTCAAGAAGATTGGTCATGCATTTTAGCAATAGCGTTCAATCGACGAAGCGAGGGGCTAAGATTGCCAAACCATATCTAGATCTCAAAGCTCTCACGGCTAGCATTGGAAGACTTTTGCAGGATGGGCTCCTTTTAGAAATGCACCCGAGCTTTTTATCAAGCACAGAAACTAAAATTATTTACCTCAGTAGTTCCTAATGATTCTGATACTCGCCTATTCATGTCAAAAGTGGCTTCCTAAGAAGCGATTCCCTTTCCTTCTAGTCGACGTTCTGAAAAGGGGCCTTTAAAAACAAACCTTCTGAAGACATACTCTAATGGTTGCGCTGCAACCATTAGAATTCTCTACTTGCTCCAGAAGAAAGACTCCCTTGTCGAAGAGCCCCACTTTAGACCAGCACGTTTGAGTTGTGGCCCAATTAAAGGTTGGCAGTCAATGGGGAACCGCAGAACGCACTCCTTCACTAACTCTCTGCCCAGAACGCGTAGCTACTCAGTACTTGAAAGTGACTTCAAGATCAGAAGGTATACAACTGTTGCTTAGGTATGCCTTAAAGCCGTCTCGATTTTGCGTCAGCCATTGTACGAGATTCGACTCTCACCACCTTTCTGCTGAGGCGTCGTCGGCAATTGACGCAGAAAGAGAGCAGCACTTGGGTGACTTTTGGGATGAGATGTGGGAAGAACACTGGGAAGACGAGCTCGATATGGCCCCAGTGTCCTGCGAAAAGTAACAAACGGGCGACTTCAGCTGAAGGTCACGGAAGCATGCCGCACGTCGCTCGACCCTGTTAGACACAGGGTCGCAGCGACGTCAGCAAACAGCACGTGGGCTCCAGGGTGTTCGGCCCGGTTGACAGCAGTTTTTCGTCTCGATTGAGGCACGTGACTACATGAGTGGAGGCGCTCCGCCTTTGGCCTTCAACAAGGCATGAGCGGAAGATACTCTGCTAGAATTCGAAAACCCTGCTTCAGATGCAACGTGATTGTGATTGTGATACGAAGCTTGTGCTTTTGTGCAGCTTTTCTTGGGGTTTTCATAGAGTACACGGATACGAGCTCAAGTAGACTGGATTTGCACTCCATATAAATCTTGTATCGGTTAGGAAACCGTGGGCGTTGAAATGGATTCAAACAATCTCCTTCAAACGAGATATCGGCCGAACGTGAGGGACCAAGAAAAGGACGGTAGGCATTTTACCCGGGCAGTTGCTCTCAGCCGTTGACGGGTCAGCTTTGCCGTCGCACGTGCCGCAGGTACCCTTCTGCTTTAAAGACACCCCAAGACGGGGGTCGCTCAAGTCAGCAGCGTCTCGGATCTCGAGTATCGATAGTTGCTGCAAAACACCAACATGCGATGGGGGTTTTTTGGCGAAGGAAAGAAAATGAGGCAAGGTCTGAGGCTCAAGCTCGAAAAAAGCGGGCAGTCTTTTCTGCTCGAACGAGTCTGTGAACCAAGGGAAACTGAAGCCTGGCTAGAAACGGCGCATCTGTGGAGGCGTTTAACCGGGTTCTTGAGAAGGCCCCTCGAGAGCTCTATACTGATGCCACGCCCAAAATGGAAAAGCGTTGAGTGATCTGGCCCACCTCGAAGCTAGTATCCTCTCATGAATTTGATTGAAAACACGTCCAAAACCTGATGTCAGAATCTTCCGCAGAATATCTCCCTGACCTAAGAAGATTGGATTCTAAACCATCTTTACCAGTGTTCCGGTCCAGAATGATCATAAATCTCAGGTGCCCACTTTATCCTTTTCACTGTTCATTCCGAAACACAACCCAGAACTTGAATTGAGCAGTAAAGTTCAGAACTTGACGAACCCTATGAGTTGAGGCTCTTCCTGCTGAGTGGTCTACGCGACAAAGACTTTCTCCGATCAACCGCTTGTCGGTGAAGCGAAGGAGTACTCAAAATGAGGGGAAGCGAAGCAAAGTTTGAGACCCCTAGTTTTTGAGCCTTAAAGCGAAGTGCTCACTCGAAGCTCCTGGTCTCCCATCAGCCCGAACTCAATGCTCTGTACGGTGCCCACTTCGGCCATCCTCGTAGCTCGACTTCTCTGTCAAATTTGAAGCGTTTCAAAGCGCTCTAGGCTTTTCGTAGCTCGACACTTCTATGTACAATGTGAAGCGTGTCAAAGCGGCCCAGAACCCCCTCTTTCTTTCGCAAACTTTTACAGTTTATCCCCTGCGCTTCCTAGGTTCCGCCGCAGACTCCAGCTTGCGAAGTTGACCTTATCAGCTCGCCCCGCAGCACGGTGACTATCGGTAGCTCTCATCATCAGCCGAAGGTCTTGAGAGTAAGCCTACATTCCTAGCATTCTGCCAAGTCTGCATTGCATACAGACAATGCTGAGTGGCAAAAGCAGCTGGCCTTGCTTCCGACTGTCCGCATTATTCCTTTCTGACGGGTACGCGCGCCGGAAGAAACTCTGCTTCTTCTATCGTCGAGATTCTGGGCCTGGAGGGCTTGAGACAGCAGCTTTCGTTGTTTGAACATCCTCATTTGGTCACTTGGAATATGAAAGTACAGTCGAGGAGATGGATGAAAATGTTTCTCCTATGGTCCAGGAGATAAGGATGCGCTAATCTTACCGACCTTGCTTGACGACTGTGATAAGCTGGCAGCAGCTATAAGATTGTCACATTTCGAGCTAGGTCGAAGCCTTTTATTTCGCAACCGGCAAGCACTCGCATCCATGCACTTTTGTCAAAGATCAACCCTCCAACTGCTTTGATCACCAAGTCTTGTACCTATTTAAGCCTGGAGCTGATTCGCGCCGCCCTTTGGCGGATCCTCGATTCCTGCCGCGAGCACTGACCATCTCATCAGACGCAGACGAGTGACGAGGACACCCGCAGCTATTACTACTGGACTTGAGTTCGTTTCAGACACGTCATCATCCGACGAAGAGGCCCGCGCATACAAGCTATGCAGCATCAGCAAAGACAAAAGCTCTTGTGCTTATGCTTGTACCGACCAGGTGCCCACGCGCGCCTAATCTTTGACATTGCGCGCTGTATACTTAGGCTGGGGCCGTTCCCGGGTGCCGCGCGTTCTCGTCGCCGGGAACAAACGGTACCGACCCGAACGGTCCCGGTCAGGTTTACCCGTGGACCTGGTCGCCCGCGCAGATTGGAACCTCGGGCCGGCGGCCGGGGCCTGGGCCCCGGTACGCGGCCGGTACGTCGTCGGCGCACAGTGACATTTTCCGTGGCGGCCCCGGCCGCCCGCCGGCTGCCCAACTCGCGCGGCCGCGCGACCGGGCGGCCTCCGGTATCGCAACCGTTGCCTAATGGCTCGTAATCACCAAGGGAGCAACAAGTTGGTTGCGTCTTTCTTGGTACCGTACTGCCACGAAACCTTGCTCTTCTGCGTCACCACCCCGCACGTGCTCCCGCGCCCCACACCTGTCCTGCATTTGGGTTTGCACAGTCTGCTCTCTACACGAATAGACTACATTCTCTTCACTCTAGCTCTGAGCTCTCTTACTCAGCTCATATAACTTCGGCGCCAAAGCTTGCATTCCTTCGATCAGCATCTCTTGTTCAAAGCAAATCTAACAAGCGCCCTTCTCATCTACTAGCAGCTTCGAGCAGCTCTCTATGCTCCCCTCTCAGCTTGCCCCAAACTGCAGCTGAGGGTATTCACACCACTGCGCTCCCATGGGGGGCTCGGCGCTGGGGGACGCCACTGATGGCCGGCGAAGATCCCCCGAGGAGTATGAGGCGATCAAGAAGAGAGTTCTCGAGGTGGTAACCCCGCTTTACGACCGGGTCAAAGTCCCGAGGCACATCGCGGATAAGGAGGACTTTGGCGACCTGGATGTGATGGTGCAGGGAGTAAGGAACCCAAAGCATGTTGAGATCATAAGGGAAAAGCTCCAGTCCAAAAAGGTGAGTTGCTCTGAAGGATGCTAGATCCGGAGCTGGAATCTGGGCTCTCAGGTGAAACGGCGCTAAAAGAAGATCCAGGTTATCTTTCTTATGTTTCTTGACCTTGGCCCCAAGCTCAAGCAACTAGACGACAAAAGCGTCTACAGTCACTTGAGCAGTGTGTTTGGAAGAACCATGTGACATAGAGGTTCCAAGTTTCTTCGAGACTCGTAACGTGGGCTGAGGCCCCGTGGGTAATGTCTGAAATGCTTTGTTCAGGAAGGAACGGCCGCTGCAAGTCTTGTAGTGAAAGCTGCTTCAAGGAAACGACTCCGTTCTCAAGTAGCAGTGCTTCTTTGCATTTCGAAACTTACCCTTTACTTCAAGAAAACCTTTCACGACCATAAAGCACAGTAGCGTCTTCGTTCAGCAAGGTTCTAATGCCAAACACGGCGACTTGCTTTGCGCTCTGCTCCCAACCAACTGAAGGCACTTTTCCGCTCCCAACCAACTGAAGGCACTTTCCCCGTCTTACAGGACCACAGGAACAGCGACAACCACAGCTACGAGTTCGAAGGGTTTCAAGTGGACATCAGTAACGCAGGCCCGAATGACTTCGACATGTTTTGCGTATATCACGAGTTCGGCGACATGATGGGGCTGCTGGGCATGCAGGCCAGCTACGTGGGTCTCAAGCTGGGCCAGCAGGTGAGCTGCCGCCGTCGTTATATATGAACAAATCTTTATACTTTACAAGATTCTTGCAAAGTACGGCTAACCGGAGACTCGCTTGGAACCTAAACAAACGCTGAATGTTAGCGGACAGACTGAAATTGACGGCTCCTGTGTACTTCTTGAAGTTCGAGAGTCTGTTCAGACAACCTAAGTAGGCGCTTTGGATCTCTCCTCCACTAACTGACTTTTCCCAATCTATTGGAACACTTACGTGTGGTCTTATATCACTTTTGCTTGCGGATGATATTTTTGAAAGACAGTCAATTCAGTCAGTTCAAATAGAAGATGTCTTTGCCGGTGCGCTTCTCTGCACAGCTTTCCTTTTCATTGTTTTTCTGGCCCTGGGAACATCAGCCGGGCGAGTGCATGGCAAGCTGGACGGCAGGTTCGTCGAGTATAGCGTAATAAGACCCTCGCGCGTCTGCGTCAACTCATGTGGAGGTAAGTGAGCTTCGCCCGATGGAGACTCGCGACTTCCTTTAGCAATAAGCGAGACAGCGAGGCACTTACACTTATTTTCCCTCACCTCGGCCGCCTTTGCTTTTTGTCCAAAGACTAGAATCAAAATTCTTGTTACGCAGGGCCTGTATTTGCGGCTCGAGTCCAAGGACGCCGGCGAAGAGAACAACAGCCTGATAAAGCCGTACGAGCTCATCTTGACGACCGACCCCCTGAAGGCGTTCGCTTACCTGGGCTGCGACGTACAGCAGTACCAGAGAGGCTTCCAGACGCAACTAGAGATGGCGGAGTTCCTCTGTCGAACAAAGTTCTTCCGCCCGTACGTGTTCCGTCCGTCTGCGGCTAAGTACGACGCCCGGAGAAGGTCTGTCAGCTTGTCTCTCTGACTCTTTTCCTTCATTCAGCAGGCCGGAACGAACGACTGGCTTTAATAATAAGACTCTCATCATTTGCTTCAAAGCAGTGAAGCATCTGAGGATAAGCAAGGGATAAGAAAAGCATAACTTTCCTTGGAAAAAGCCCTCAGCTGCTCCGGATTTCCTGCTTTCAAACGCCCCTGACTATGAAGTGCCAAGGACGCTAAAACGAAGCAACAGCGCCGCGCGCTGTTTGGCTTAGAAAGAGCAGAGAAGTGTCCGGAGCAACTGTAGGCGCGTCACTCGTTTGCATTCGCCGACCCCATTCCAAGTTGCATCACAAACAGCTGTGAACACGAGTTCTTGACGTACACCCGGGATCTCGCCATAGATCTTTCAAAATCCTGCTCTGATCACGGCTCCCTTCACCCTGTCAGTGCGTCCGAGATCTCAAATGTATTCCGACCAGAAATATCGTCGCATACTCTCTCCTGCTAAGCCCGCTTTCAAAATTCGTAAGGTCTGACACGAGTTTCTTTTCTTTCCGTTCAGATTGCTCCACCGACCAATGTGCATCTTCTTCCGGGACTACCTCGCCCTCCACTTCCCGGAACAGATGTTGGAAGAATTCCAACCGCCGCCTGAGCTCATACCCGATATAAAGGCCATACGCGATCAGGCCATCCGCGATTTCGGCAAGCAGGCCGAACGCGACACGTGGGAAGTAAAGGCGCGCCGCTTCCTCGGGCTGCGCCACAAGCTCCCCGGCAGTCTGCTTATGGAGGTTTCGGGGTATAAGGGCCCGGCACTGGGCGAATTTAAGAAGGCGTTTCTGGCGCAGTGGTCGGACAAGGACGCGTTTGAGGACTTTCTGCTGGCCTCGACGGACGAGCAGATACGGACACGGCTACAGGCTTTTGCAGATGGTTATGGGTAGAGGGTGCACGGTCGAACTACTCCCAAATCAGGTTATAGATTTCAATGGTTAGCCTAGGCATCTGAACAGCACGCCTCTAAATACACCGCTGCAGATTCTACCGCGACACCACCACGTTACTGCGATGATACTCCAAAAGATCTGGATCCCTATATGACTCAATCGTCAGCAAACCGCGTGGGTTATAGGCCGCTCAGTATTCGGGACACAAGTAGCTATCATTGCCAAACAACCATGTATGAAATGCTGAGCATGCTGCCACGTTACTTTCCATGTAGCTCCAGCTAGCATTCATGGTTGTTGCTTTTCTATCATCGGCAACACGATCTGGCGTGTGTGGCCTATGGGCTGCAACCGTCGTGCTTCCAGCTGGTGAATCTTATGTTTTCGCCCAAAACAGTGACATGTTCAAGATCCAATCACTAACTTATCCGCAGGATATTTCGCCATCAATATGAAAACCGCATGCACCTATATATCCCGCATCGGGCCTTCGGCTATCATTACGGTCAACGATATAAGCTTCAGACATGGCTATGCTATCCAATGATCGCGCAGTGTGACCCGGATGGTATAAGGAGCTGGACGGCACAAACACAACAGATCAGTATAACGATGATCAGCGGGACTGTCGGATCAGTGTATCTGAATGACGGCCTGATGGCGAAATATCAGGTCATTTAGCAAAGAGATCGGATGATAAGGTGCCAGTAGAGCTGAGCTTACGAAAGGTATGCTGACGCGTGGCGCGGCGGGCCGTGCGCATGCTGCCTCGATTAACGTCAGCGACCATGAACTTAAGTAATTTTGCAGTGGTGCTACGTGCACGAATTTTTAAGGTCCGTCGCAGCTGATTCCGCGAAATCCAGACGTTAATGTTCTTAACTTAAGAGCGTCCATCAAAAATAACACGGAGACTCAAGTGGAAAGTGCATTAACCGGTCTTGGTGCCCGAGTTTTTTTCCAACGGTCAACGTCTTCTTCTTCGACGAACGCACAAATCTCTGCCACGATGTAGCTCCTACTCGTCTCCTTATTCTTCCACTTGTCCAACAGACCGTCAAACCCAGGCTCGGTACGTGCACTGCAGAAACCGGAGTCCACCGCTTTGAGAGCCTCCACAAGCACAAGGCTCTCTTTCTTATGAAACTCCCGTTTCCAGATCCCCATCTCAGCTTTCGCAGGGAACGACAACTTGTGCGAACATCCTGACCACGAGTCCCACTTTGCCAGGACTTGTTTCAAGAGTACTTTCAACATCTCTTGAACGTGCTTAGGTAGATACTGCCGGGGATTCGGAAGAGTTGGAGGGTTCCGGTTGGTGCATTCGTCGATTGTCGCTCGGATGATTGCGGCCTTTCGGGCCCGGTACCGGTAAGCCAAGTAAGCCCACGTGGCTGCCGTAACCAGAGCCAAAAACGCAGGCGAGGCGATCCCGAGTCCAACCTTGATGGCAAGGTCGTTGCTTCCTGCAACGACACGGTAGCAGTGGGTATTTCCGGAAACGGGATCGCCGCAGCAGAAATTTCAACCGAGGAGTTGTGACTATCTGGTCTTCTTGAGGAAGGAAGCCTCCCGTCTTATGCATATCTAAACAGATCAGAACGGTGCAAGCTTAAGGAGATAAGGACGGGAGGAATTTAAAGGAAACACAGGAGGCCACCTTAAGCTGATGAATGCATGAGGAGATAGCAGTCCGTCAAAGGACGGACCATTGTCCTGATCCTGTGACTGCGAGCCTTGAACCCATTGTTGATATTTGACAGTGATCGCAGGGTCGGAATACAAAAGCAGGACTTCGTTGGCAGGCTTCTTGAATAACTTACGGGGAAACAACGTTTCCGCAGTTCCAATGATCCGAGTCAAGGTGGATTCGGGCTCAAAACCTGGCAATTTAAGACAAACTGAAGTAACTCAAGGCGGCTTAACGCACGACGCGGCGAGCTTGGGAGCTTGGAGCCGACGCTACCATACCAGTCAAGCTGCAGCCTCCCAGCTCAAGCCCCATCGGCACTACCAGCCCACTTGATATTGTTAATTCCTCAACCAAAACTTAGAGGTGCAGCATTGTGCTGCAAAGTAAACATCTCACCCGTGCTAGGAGGTGACGAGTTTGGGCCGGAGGGAGTGGTAAGAGGTGTTTGGGTCGGGGTAGTGACGCTCGCAGAATTGAATGTGTTGCCTGGGCCGCTGAGCGGAGCAACACTTTTGGGGGTCGGCGAGGGAGAGGCAGTCAGGGTGGGGGCTGTCGGAGCAGGGACACTCGGCGGAGGAGTGGGCTCAGCGGTTGGTGGGGGTGTTGGGGCCGCAGTCGTCGGGAGGGGTGTTGGGGCAGGGGTGATTGTTGGGGCCGCAGTCGTGGGGCGGGGTGTTGGGGCAGCCGTTGTGAGTGGCGGCGTTGAGGGGGGAGTTGTAGGAGGGGGCTGCGTCGGGGTAGGAGGAAGTGTCGCTTGTGGGGTGAGAGCGGGGGCGGGGGTGTTTGGCTGGGGAGTACCGGTTCGTGAGCCCCCCCCAGCCAACGAGCAGCATCCTGCTAACGTAGAAATCCCGTCGCAGGTGACAACTGCGTCAGTATAGCCTGTGCATGTGCAGAAGGATCCGGAAGTGCTGCTGGTGCACACGTCGGCGCAGCAGGCAACGAATGTCTGGCTAGCTCCAGTCGGTGCTCGGCTGCAATCGTCGGCAGATATGGCGTGCAGCAAGCTTCCCCCGCTGGCCACAAGGTTACACGAACCCGAGGTTCCCCCTGCACCAATGACGAACGCTCCATTTGCAACCCGAACACCCAGAAGATCACCTTTGTTGATACCTTTTTCCTCTAATTCTTGTTTAATTTCAATCTTCTTCCATCACAGAATTGTTTGAAATCTCTTGTGGAAACATATGTCCATGAACAACAATCCCTTCCTTCTCTGCTGTAGTGTGAGACATTTATCATGCTTCTGCCGTTAAAAGGCATCCAGCAATCTGGCTGTGCAAGACAGAAGACTGATCTTAAAGCTGAATCAGGATGTGTAAGAATGTCAATCCATTTTCAACAGAGGAAGTTGTGCCAGAAGGATTCTACTTTCACCTGATGCAAGGCCACCTTAGCGAGTAGCAAGATCAGGATTCACGCATAGACTGAGAAGATCATGCAGACAGACTTACACAGGCACTGAGAGACTCACATGGTTTATGGCAGCGGAATGGCAGCACATCGTGAAAGTGAGAAAGGTCACAGAACTTATCAGAACTGTCTGCACCTACCAGATATTTGAAGCAGATTCCGACGTGACAGCCTCTCGTGCGCTTGCGGCAACAAGCGCTGCCTGTCCACCAGATCAGGAGCAAGATCAGATGTCCTATATAGCAATGCAGCGCCCCCAGCCCTACTGGTTTGGCTGCCTGTGTGAACGTGCAAGCTGGCTTCGTACACCCTAGCATCAACGAAATTCAGCAGCATTGTCAAAAGCATGCTCCAACACAGTATACGAGCTGCAATGACCATAAAGGTCGTGTTGGAGATGCTGCGAATGCTATCAACACCTGACGACAAATAGGGCGGCCCCATACCGCCCGGGCTCAAGTGTTGAGGGGAGTGCGATGTCGGCCTCAGCTAACGTCAGCTAGGAGGATCTGGGGCAAACTCGAAGGGCCAGAACTTGAAGCCCAGAATCCGAACTACCTCAAAGCCCCTGGAGAGCTTTCCTTGTGTCCACTAGCTCTGAAGCTGGAAAGCCTGGCGCTTGCAACTTCAAGTTGCAAAGCTTTCTCAGTTTCTGGACACTGATCAATCTTTCTCGTAGCTGGTAACACGTTCCGTACCGGACCGTACGTACAGATACAATACCCAGTAAAATGTGGTACCTACCCACCCTCACTGTTAGGTACTAGGTAGGTACCTACCTACTAGGCACGAGGTACCTACGTCCAGGGGTTCTGGCGCCGTGCAGATCGCCGTGTATAGCACGGCCGGGGGAATTTCTGCACGGAGCCCGCCGTGCAGGTTGCCGTGCAGGCCGGTGCCCTTGTTCCGGCCAGTTGTCCCGCTGGCCGGGCACTCTCCGTCGACGGTAGTACTCAAGAGTCCCAGAACACTCGATGATTCGAGTAGGTATATTCAGGGCACCCTTGTCCGGCTATATTAGACTACCTACTCCGACCCGGCCCGGCTTTACAGATCGTAAGCCCCCTTGATTCACTTTGCAACCTTACTTTAGTGTATAACGGTCGATGGAACCTTTGTACGGTGCAGAACTTCTGTAAAGGCTACATTGCCACGTAGAAAGTTTCCAGGGGGTTTTGAAGGAAATCCGGGTCCTGGATGCAGCATCATTACGTAACGTCGTATACGGTTTGCTATCGGTCATATGGTGCGGAAACGCACGAATATCAATGTCAGCCGCAGCATGAGAATAGCAGGCCGTAAATGATTTGCAGCGTCAGGGAGGAAAAGCCGGTGAAGAGTCATGGGCTCGGGGCTCTCAGCTGCACGGCCGGCAAGGCCGTTGCACGGCCGGGCGGAGCTCGCCGTGCAGAATGCACGGCCGGAAAAATTTTGCCCTGCCTACGTCTACTGCTGGGACCAGACTCGGGATTCAATTTAACACCCAACTTCCAAGTACAGTGAGCGGTATGTACCTGGCAGGCATATTCCTCCTAGTACCGTACGGAACATGGTTACACCGTCCATGCCAATGGCAACATGCGCTTCCCTGATTCATCCGCGATTGATCTATAGGATCCTAACCTGTCAGAATTGCTCTTGAGGGTCCACTTGCACAGGCGATTTTGGCCCCACACAACTTTGGCGGCAAGACACCGCCGTCGAGCTCGCCATGATTGCCAATTGGCACTCGCACGACGCACACTATATAAGGGCACACGACATGTTTCGCACCGGGCTCGTCACCCTAGCTTCTTGATTTTGTTTGTTGACGTCACGCAAAAGAGTACGCCATTGATCTTGGGCATAGCTGGTACCTTTTAGCACTGAGCCGCCAGACCCATACGTATCTAGGTACGGTACCGTATTACTGGACCCCTCAGTACCTAGTATTTCAGCACCGCGTTGAACCAACTTGCACTGGCAGGTACCTGTGCACCTGAAATGATCGAAGCCTTTTTGAAAGGTCCTTGCTTTGCAAAGATCATTTGCCACTGGCACCAGGCAGATCAGAAAGGGCTAGCTGGCACAGCTCGGAATATGGGGTCGTCCTTTGCAGCCATCAAAGGGCGGCTTCATGCATTTCCCAAGCTTCTGAGAATCTTAGTGGCGCTAGGCTTTTACTGCATGCCCCGCTTTTGTGAGGCCATCCCAATCGTTCCCAGCCACCTCTTGACAGACAACTGCACCGCGGCCAATGCGGAGTATTATAGCGAACAGCCGCCCGGAAGCTTCTTTTTTTACACGGGGACTCCAGACAGCTACTGCAGCCGCGCGTCCACCCCTACTACAGGCTGGAAGATATGCGGAGCAAGCTCGGCTCCCTCTTGCACAACCGTTGTTGCCCCCTATGGCAGCAAAGCAGACGCCTGCAAGGCACAATACAGTTATGTTAATAAATGTTCATTGTCAGTGCGGGTATTCTTCATCAACTATGATTTGGACTGCGACTGGGTGATCATCTGTGAGTACTTTGATGGCCCCGTCGTGGTAACAATAGGATCAGCGGCACCCAGTATTGTGGCGGCACCTCCAACGAAGGGCACGGCCGGCGCCCCTCTTTTGGCACCGGTCCCATTGTTTCCTCCGTCCCCTTCTCTGCTTCCAAAGGCGGGTGACGTGGTCATGCTGTTGTCTTATGCTGCGGGAAGTGTGGACTACTATTGCAACAAAGGTGAGACATTCTTAACATGTTGCACGGAATTGCCTGTGCCAAAAGGTAGACAAGAAGGATGTTGTGCCGTGCAGCCATTGTGGGAAGTGGCTTTTTTGCGCATGCCGCATATCTGAGGTACTGGAGGCTTCAAATCCAGCGAGGTCGTGCTGCAAGGATTTACAGGCGAAAGAACCCAACAGAACACAAGATTCATTTGTGAAACGGTTGTCTAGCAAGATGTATTGCAGTGTTGCGTTGTCGAAGCTGGAAGTAATCACCACCCCAGTTGACACCGATAATATGATCACTTCCGGCCTGCAAAATGTTGCGCATGTGAGCTTCAGAACCCGATGATTGAGATTCTTTTCGCCCACAGTCGAAGCAATTTGCCCGAGTATTGCATTGGAGAGCCAGGGTTGCAGCTTCTCATTACCATGTTTGGTAAAAGCGGCTTTAAGGTTGACAATGAGCTGGTGGTTGCTGCCTGGCAGCCTGGGGCGCTTTTAATAGGGCCGTAATCTTCAAGAGCAACTGGCAATAATCCCAGTTGCTACAGAATGTCTTCATGAGTGAGCATGGTTCAGCATTGTATTTGCCGGGATAGAAACTCTCTTGCTGCTCTGCCCAAGACTAATTTCCGTGATGTGTCACTTTCTTTGAGGCTCAGAAAGTGCCCTTTTTTTTGAGATGTGCCCATATTCTAATCTATGCAAGTTGGCAGTGTCTGATCTGTGGCTATCAACCATGTGAAAGATGCATTCTTTGGGCCCCTCAAACAGTCTACGACCCCGGAGGTAGTCTGGAAGTATGCGCACAAATACGCGAGTTTCGTGTCCTTCTTCCTGACAGCAAGCCCATTCATCATCGAGAAGACTTAGAAAGCTGATCCCTCAACTAAAAGGGGGTGACTGCAATGACTTAGGAGCCTCCATTTGAAAGGTTCCTGCTTTCACTTCCTCGCGTGCCAGAGCCACACAAGAGCAAAGTGAATCGATTGCATAGTCTGCCTTCTGTTGACCTCCGCACAGAGTGCTCTGAAAGCTACAGCCCATCAACGGTTTGCCTAGCTGGTCTTCATCTACCACTCATCAGGAGTGCAATAAATCCTTATTAGTAAAGCTTGTCCGGAGCGTATCAAGCGCTTGTCTTTTTGTATCAAGGCCCGTTTGCATCTCGAACCAGCATGCCAAGAGGCACACGAATTCCTGTCTCAGCCAGCTACTTTTTCTTTGTGACGAAATTTAAAGGTCCGAACACTGGGCTACGTTAACACCGGCCATCACTATTAGGAGCCTGCTCACTCGATTGAAGGATAATATTACAAGGGCTTTCAGGATTGACGGACGGACTGCCACTATTCATGCCCTTCAATCGCTCAGTTCCTTCATGCTTCTTCTGCAGCATCTGGCCTCTTCTCGGACGGAACCATAAGCGCCAACCTCTATACAAGTCCGTTGGGAAATGCATCCATTGGCACGTACTTGAAGGCCAACGGGTCGCAAGTTTTTACGTTGGCAGATGGGAGCATAGCGCTCACCGGTCCCCGAGATAGTGGAAATTCCTACCCTCAGAACCCGAACCTTCCGCTGGATGGTGAGAATCCGCTATCCTGCTACAGAACAAGTAGTAGTTTGCTTGATCTAGGATACTTTCTCAGTCTGCTGAAAATAGTTGGGTCCGGGCGCAAAGGACCGGCCTCTGACCCTTACGACCGGCCAGGATTGCTCTCAGAATCAGAATGAGCATCCAGTTTGCACCTTACGAGAGAGGGACTACAAACTACTAGACAAAGCAATCTCTTGACTTCGAGGTTAAGCTTCGGGGTTGGTTGGACCAGAACGGATAATCGAGGCTGGTCAGTAGCTGGGCGCCACCGTCAAAATCCCGCTCAGAGTCGTCGAACGCGTTTCAATTTCGTTCGAATCGGTACCTCTTTCATCCACAATACTGGGATGTCAAAGTATCTTTGTCGGATTGAATACTCGGTGGGCTCGAGCGAACATAAATTCTGTGTTGAGATGCTGGAGGAGATGCACTTAAAGAATCAATTGATTGACAAAAGCAGCTTTCCTCTAAACAGCGCACCCCTCGAAACCATTCAGATGCAAATCTCTTCCATGGCACCGGATCGGGCAAGCTCTGGCCGCCAATGACCAGTGTGCGTTCGTGTGCCAGGTGGGTACGGCTCCCTGAATCAAAGCTATTCGACCGCCACTGGGAACCTCAGCCTGGCTGACGTTGCTTACGTCACTGTTACAGCGACGGTTGGAGGCGTTCTCCCAAGCAAGGCCCCATGCTCAAAGGTGCTCGGTTCGCTGATTCCGTACCGCCCCTGGTCCATACCTTTCGAAGCCAACATTACCTTCTTTAGCAGATTTGTGCCTCCACCTTAACAACAAACATAACCCGGTTCCCTCGTCGACGTTTCGACTCTCGAGAGGAGCTGGTTCGAGTTTAATCAGGTTCATCAGGCAATGAACTCGTCACAGACTCATAAGACGTATATTACGATGCCAATAACGGTCATCTAGTTGAACGTCAAAAACTGAGCACGTATTTGAAACGTCTCTTCTCCAGTACTGGTCATCAGCCCGAACGACAGCTTCCTTGAAGCCTGTACGTAGATCGACCCTTGCGGTCGTCCATTCTTTCAAACCGCGCAGCTCGCGATGTCGGTGGGGCCTGATCAGTGAGCCATGCATGTCAGACAATAAGACAATGATGCAAGATATGCCAGTACGTTTTGGGCAGAACCCATGGGAGTCGATATGAAAGCCGCAAAACCTATCGAACTGACAAATGAAATTGCTGACAACTGAAATTGGTGCTGTGGATGGTTGCGGATCTGTTGGTTTGTCCCAGCACCGTCCCAATGAACCCTGACAAATGAACACACCCTTTCAGCCTTTCAAGTCACTGCTCCGGGCCGCCCATGTGCATTGATGTATGTGAGAAAAGGGTTGCATCTCGACCGTCCGATGAGGTCCAATGTCGTTCGAACCGTTCCTTCGCCTTCCCCAGGGG